ATTCAGTGAATTTTCATATTGTTTTAGGTATAGATAGACAACTCCCCTTCCACTCAATGCCCATGCATCATTAGGTTCAATCTCCAACGATTTGTTGAAATCATTCAGTGAATTTTCATATTGGTTTAGATGTCGATAGACAGCTCCCCTTCCACTCAATGTATTTGCAATGTTTGGTTCAATCTCCAACGATTTGTTAAAATCATTCAGTGAATTTTCATATTGTTTTAGGTATAGATAGACAACTCCCCTTCCACTCAATGCCCATGCATCATTAGGTTTAATCTCCAACGATTTGTTAAAATCATTCAGTGAATTTTCATATTGTTTTAGTGCTAGATAAACAGCTCCCCTTCTGTTCAATGCCCATGTATTATTAGGTTCAATCTCCAATGATTTATTAAAATCATTCAACGAATTTTCATATTGTTTTAGATGTCGATAGACAGCTCCCCTTTTGCTCAATGCCCATGCACTGTTTGGTTCAATCTCCAATGATTTGTTAAGGCCAAGAACTTCATCATAACACTTCAATCTCTTATAAACGTTTTCAGAAGATGGTCGCTTATTAGGGTCTTCATCCCAACATTCTGAATACAGATTAATATATTCTTCTGACGTTCCAGAAACTGGGGGATCACGAAAACCCTTAAGTCTAGACGTAACAATTTTAGCAGATTGCATATGTCCGCCGCACGGAACTTTTCCGCTAGATATTTCCCACAGTATTACTCCAAGACTAAATATATCGGATTTCTTTCCACGTTGATATGAATCGTTTTTAAATGATACCGGATCCATGTATGCTGGAGCGCCATCGCCACGTGATTTCGACATCGCTTGTTTCAACACGCTAGATAAACCAAAGTCGGTTATCTTTGCAACGCCTGATTTGATAAGAACGTTACTCGATGACTAGAAAAGTAAATGTATACCGTCAGTTTAAGATGAATTAAAAGTTCAGTCAATACAATCAACATGTGCCATACATACCAAATCCTTGTGAATAATGTCAAGTTGATGTAAATGTTTTAGACCATTAGAAATTTGTAAGCCCAGCTTGTACTTGTCTTCCCATGTTAAACCATCAAAGTTTTTCTTTAAGTATGTACGCAAATTTCCACCGTCCGCGAGTTCAAAAATCATATGATAATTATTGGATTTGTCTGATGTGTTAAAGTAAGATCCATCAAGTTAAGAAGCTATTCTTTGCAATTCGTTTACCATTCATTATTATTGCATACCTTTGTATAGAGCTAAGAAACGGATAATGTTGGGGTGATTGTTCGCTTCCTTATGGTGTTGTAACTAACATGCATAACATTCATTTAAAGGTTAGTTCATACGCAAATATGAATGCGAAGCAAGCATAGTAATAACGGAAGTAGACAACCTCTTTGACAAACTGTCGGTGCAAATCTTCTTCGCAATCCCCTTGGTTATCCGGAAACAGAGTCTTCACTGCAACCGTCATTCCAGAGAGAATGTTGTGCTTTTTGCCTAAAATTGTCTTAGTAATGCTTCCTATACCATTTGTCCGTTTTACAGTTGCCCTATACACCGCTCCAAATGCTCCAAGACCAATATGCGTAGGGTCTAATTTTATGTCGCTTTCTGGACAGCAGTAGATTGAACCTTCTTGAATGCTTGTCTCCAGCCATTCTTTGTACGAATTATTAGATGCTTGAGACATTGTTAATTTGAATACAAGGGCAGTGCAGGCTTGTATCGATATAACGATTTGTTGTGTAACTCAATTGATCCCGTGATTATATTAATTGTTCGTCTGAGAAACACTAATTGTAAAGTCCACAAACTAGCCAACTGGTGTTGCGGAATGCACGATGTACAGTAGAGAAGTGTATTTTTACAAAAGATATGTATAAGCTTACATATGCACTAATCCTATTACGGTCAATTTTCCAAGTTTTAACATATACTTTGTCTAACCTATAACATTAACCTATAACCATAAGATTTCCTAGATTTGTTGAACGCGAAAGCGAATATCATACGTTCCACATATCTCGTACAGCTTTTTATGATATTCGAGACTATAAATTGAAAATGCTTGCGTTCGTGGTAATGATGTTGGAAAATAAATAGCCCTAAGAGGAATACTGGGTTTAGGAAGAGAGTTTCTATACAGATTGCAATTTGAGAAGAGCCCGTATTCGACTAAGATAAAAAGTGGAAGAGAAATGCAGATGGTGCTCGGTGATTGTTACCATACAGTAATTTATGGATGGCTTTCCTTAGCGGTTCTTATTAGGAAATATTGAGTTGAGACGCATTTTTGTTGTTTGCATTAGTTAAGCCTATTAGTTAACGAACAGCTTCATAGTCCTTGCTCTGGTAGAAAATTATTTGTTGGATAAACTCGAAACAAGCTCCTCTTTTTATTTCAGTTGTTAATTATTTTAATTGTTTGTAGGTTAAGTTGTAACATGAATAAACTTATTTGAAGATTTTTACATAATATATTCTATATTAATATGTGTCTTTCAGATCTGTTTGATTTGTTAAACTGCTTCCTGTCATCTTTCTCTTTGGGATTTCGAACATGTTATTCTGATAAGTCAAACTCATCATCCCCACAAGTATTTGGATTGATTAATTGTGCAACATAACTATGTAAATTAGGAAGATTACAACAGCTGATTTTAGATACCGAATAATTTACAGTAAACTCTACCTTCAGTCTCATAAAAAAAAAGGTTTCATTGCCATTAGTGATTCTTGTGAGGATTATGTCTCTATTTCTACTCTATGACTATCGGACAGCAGCACACAAGAATTTGGAGAAAATGTTAGGAAAATACTAATCGCTGTGGATTGTTGGAAAATACAATAATTAATGATAACCAATCCAGTAATAGTAAATCGCTAACAAACAATATCATCTTCGATAACAAACTTTTAGTATCATCGAGCGAACATAAAACACACATTTATTTCACGACACGACAATCGCACCGGATAGAGTCAGAAACTGCTAATTCTCTATTTTAAGAGTAGCCGATACTTCGATACACTCAGGCTTGACAAATACGATTACTACTCACTTGCGAAACGCGCGCGTTATGGTTGATACACTTATATCCCAGTTACGGGCCGTAATCAATGTTAAATAATTAACATATACAAGATGTAAGGTTGAGTCAGGTGGGTCTAGCTTTAGTCCAGTTTTAAAGGTTACTAACTTGTCGAACTGTATTTGGCATGGCTAAATTTCATTCAATATTCATAGACTCGACATTGTGGCTTTACGCTACGTTATCTAATATGTGAACTCTAACACACAGAGTAGGAAAGATATTTTCTCTGTTAGCTATTGTGGATCGTAAGTTTTTTTATTGAGGTGACCATAATGAGCTTGAATAAATGGCAGAACATCTTTATTTATCTGTTCGTTGCATTACTTTCGACAATAGATCCTGTGTGGATAAATGTCCCGAATTATCGTCCAATCAAGTACCGCTGATAAGTATTGAATTTGCGGTGCGGTGAAAATATAATTTCCTAAATGAAGAACGTTGTCGTTTCGGCAGATCAACTCTTAAGTCGGTTCAGGTCTAAGCATTGATAGAGAATCCATACGATAAAAAATCCTTCCGTTAAGAAAATTCATTGAATTACAACACACCTAATATCGATCGTTATTTGCAATGTCTATTTGGATGCAACACATATACATATACAGTAATAGTGTTATTTACTACCTTTTGTCGACACCCGTTATCTGTACGTCTTGGCATAAAACGAATCAAGTATGATATTTGTTGATAACAATGTAAAGCATAGGTTGTACATATCGTGCAGCACATACTAATACAGAGCAGAGTATAGATGTTGCGAAAATATTCTATGATTTGAATTCCTGAGTGCACCCGTGATATATATACAGCGGGTATTTGGCAAATGTAAGATCTTAAAGGTTATAATAAGAGCGCATCTAAGAACATCAATATTTTTGATAATGATGTATGTAATTTAGACAAACAATAAAATTTGAAAACAGACTACTTTATTTATAAATCATATATTTACAAAATGTGTTTAGGAAGCCCACTATTATACTACTATAGCAACAGCTATAACAAATAAAAGATAACTCTGTAGAATCCTTCTGAAATATATAAGTATCATACATTATTAATACAAACGTATTCAACGAAATACCTGTCGCTCATCTAAATGACAAATTCAACACAACATACTGTTTCTACTTGCTGTATATTCAAATATCGATTTCCCTAGAAAAATAAGATTAATATTAGCTTTTTGTTTAATATTGTAAGCATACACACAAGTTACAGTTAAATACTTACATGGATCTGATAATCAAATAATAATAACAATAATATAATAATGGTGATTAGTCAATAAGGTAAGGCTATCATCACAAAGAAGAGCACACTTGCATTCAATACTTACTGAGCGGCTGAATTCAACCTTTCACTATACTGCCTTGCTGCACGCAATTCAGCAGGAGTAGCCGGTTCAAAACTTTTACTGACTAATCGCAGTCGTGTCTTTGACTTGTCTAGAGATCTGCTCGTTAACATTTCTTCGCCTTGCTCAAACGATTTGTAGGTTTCATCTCTATAACGATTATGTTTTTTGCCCATGTTATAAGTCACCAGGAAACCCAAGATTTCGTCAAACACATCATTTGCAGCTGGTCTTTTTGATGGATCCGCATCCCAACATCTCTTCATCAATTCTTCATAGCATTTAGGAGTGCCTGGAACTATTTTCGGTCGTTCTCCGCCAAGAATTTTGACGATTATTTCTCTACTATCATCATCGCTCTCAGAAAATGGTGTACTATCTGCAGATAGCTCCCACATAATCATGCCAAAGGCATAAATATCGGAAGCTTTTGTCTCTGATCCACCTCCTAGAATTTCAGGTGCAGTATATGCAATCACACCATATTTCCTCCTTTGCCTTTCGTCATCAGTTTGATTAGCGGGACCACTTAATCCAAAATCAGTAAGATTGGCCTTCCAATGCTCAATATCCCCTTTAATGTCTACTAAAACATTACCACTGTGTAGATCCTTATGTATAATGTCTACTTTGTGTAGATTATACAGTTCTCGCGCTAGCTCCCGCAACAAGTCCAATCTCCACATCCAGGGTACAGGGATTAGGCTGTGGTGTAAGTAGTGTCTCAGATCTCCATATGTATAGTAATTCATGATCAGTACAATATTTTGAGACGTAGGTTTTCTTGTAACGCCATATAACTTAGCCCCGATAGATATAGAAGAGGACGAATTTATAATCAAATAGTTTTTCAACTATTTTAAAAATAAAATTAGATGACGTATACAAAGGTTCATATAAAGAATCGCAATAAATAGTAATAAGCACTTGCCTCATTCTCATACGCTTTGGAGAGAATACGAGAATCATTCAACTCTTTCAGAGCGACTGTCTGAGCTGGTTGAATTTCTAGGCTGTTCCAGTACCCCTGTAGCCATTGAGCCTTATAGACCTTGGAAAATCCACCCTCGGCTAAATGTTCAGTATTGATAATCTCGCCATACGGAATCCACTTAACCTTTGTTCCTTGGATAAGTTCCTGAATGACCTCATCACCACTTTGCTAAAAACAACTACTTTAGTAAAGCGGTTTATTGTGTTGGAGAGTTTATTAGAGCCAACAGATTCTCACCGTTTCCATTGCTTTAAGATATCAATGTTCTTGCACTGGTGGAGAACTTCTCCGTCCGTTTATAGCTCAACAGAAAATCAAACACGTGATCTAACATAGGGTATGCAATACATTATATCGCCAAATATATCTACCATCATTCAAAACTCTTCTGGGAAAAACAATGGCTAACAAACGACAAACGCACATTGTTAAAAGGTAAGCGAACTCCGGAACGGGGGGTTTTTCTGAAGAGTAATAATAATATATAACTGTAAGTAGCCTCTGACTACCAACCTGCCATTTGGGCAGTTTGACAACATTTCTTCTTAATAGCTGATCGGGAAACGAATGTGTTGACATTCTGCAGTTGTATTCCTATGTATGCTTATCCATCCTATCTATATTTAACAGAAATTTCGGACTTCCAATTACGTCTTTCCATTCCGTCTAGAAAACAAACGTTCAAAAAAAAAAGCCTATTAAGAAGTGATAAAGCGCCACCCTGCAGACGTTTGTATACATATTCGGTTATATATATATGCGATCTGCTTAGTTAAAGACTAATAATTTCGACAATGTCTAACTACCTTGGAAATTGCTGTGCCATTCCATTCACATGCTAATACTTTTGGGTATGTACAATAGACAGGGAACTTATTATGTTGCCATGGCGCAATCAAACGTAATGAATATTGTAATACAAGCTAGAATACCGTTGATAATACAGTAATATCGAGGCTTTTGCCAACTGGATTTATGTATGTACTAATACACGATACTGAATAATAATAGACATACCGGATTGCATACTCGATTGTTCTAACAACTTGCCATTCAAGCCGCAGACATGTGACATGTGATTATTGTGGTGTCCAAAAAATCTTACCTATTTGGTGAAAGACTCACGCCATAGCTACACTTAATATTACTTGTACCACTATATGAATGTGGTGGTGGGAAAATGGTAATTTATTTGGGGCGTATATCTCTTGATCTTGATAAGCTATTTCCAGTCCCATAATAGCAACAGTTGTCTCCCCCTCTTTACGTTGGCTAGACAGAATTATCATGAGTATTACCATTTGTCATAATAATGACAACGCAAAATTGATATCGGCAGCAATTATCCGATATTTACGTTACAAAACCTAAATTTGGGACAAAGTTTAGATATGTGGTAAACACCTTTTATATCGATACCCGTGAGTACAATCCAAGTTTTTCTTGATGACTTAGTGTACGTAGTGTATGTAGTGTACGTAGTGTATGTAGTGTATGTAGTAACACTAATGTCCTTAAAAAAAGATGTCTGTATATGAAGTAGGTTTTTAGAGTCGTCACGCCGCTCTGGGAAAAAGTTTACTAATAGACAATAAATGCTAGCTGATCACGATCACAAAGGTTTCGATAAAGTTAAATAATGCTATTGTGAAATATGCAACTTGATACGGTTAACCTCAAGAATGACCAACTCATATTTACAGTTTGCAGTGACTATATATGGTATTATTCTCAAAAGACGGTTTACCACAGCTCAGATACTACAAATTAAAGCAAACCGTTACATGATACCCGGGTGCTTACTCAAAATTGGGGTAGGGAGAGGTTTGTTTTATACGGTACTTAATAGATCGAAATGCCAAGCAAACTTGTACGACAAGCTATTATGGAAAGCCTCTTTTATTTATTTTGTTGAATAACTTACTTTTACTCTAAATATCTGCGTTAAACGTATTTTATTATAGAAACAACAACAGCTTCCTTTCCCAATAATCAGCATTTTAGACGTGTATATTATCTTCTGATGCTATAATTTATTGTGAGAAAATTATTGCTGGAGAGATTAAATACAAACATATCCACAATAGCATTCTATACGGAGAAATAAATTTGCATGCAAATATTAAAGTGTCAATGTTCTGCTACATTATTTATTAGATGGCAAAGATTTACCAGAAACGGATAGTTGTTCAACTCAGGGTACGTGTACAGCATGTATGGATAGAGATGTGAATAATATACGCGAAGCGCTGAAGAGAAACAAGCTAGGTAGAATTCTTAGAGCCATTATCTGTGCGAAAGATGCAAAAGTTTGTCCGTACTAATAGGGATGATTTGGCACAGTTAAATGTCACTCCACATTTTGGGTATCGCGGCTCATAATCTCTCAAATCACGTCATGGTCACACAGACACATTTTAATTCCATATAAATAAATACAATATAAATAACAATTAAGAAGGAAATTCAAAGCACTGTTAAATGCTTATAATCCCATCCTCTGAACGAAAAGTCTTAGCGATGTATAGCTTAATAGATATGTGCACTTATAAATTTGCATACTTGGAACATGGCCAAGTTGTGTATGCTCTTCTTGACTCGGATTGCACACTCTGTGTTCGTTTATATTTATATCTACAGTTTCCGTTGTTCTTGATTGGGGCCCCGCATTCACTATAAACAATAAAGTTTATGTGGGCGTGCCGCAACAAGCCAGACAAAGCCAAAAGACTAACATAAAAGGTTATTACCGCAAAAAAAGATAAAATTGAATGAAGACTGTAATATGATTTGGCGTCAACAATTCTGATACCCTGAAAATATATTGTAGCCCCATATTTTATGTACATGTTCAAGCTTTTAATGCGATTTCTTGCAGAGTATCCTCGCACGTATGTTCAGACGCTTGCTTAACCCCCCGAAAACATTATATTTGCCCTTTTCGCAGGAAGCGGTTATTGTAAAATTATAGGGTACAAAATGTGGCGTTCACTGTCAGGTCCCCGAAATCTTTTTTTGATGTGGCACAGCACATCTGGTAGAATTTCCTGCACATACTGTACTGTATCTTTCGTAGTTACCCACAAATAATGTTTCACTGCCATATAGATTACTTTTTTTTGTTTCCGGGCCCAGAATCTCCGTGGATGATACACAAACAAGGAGAATAAGGAAAAGTCAATAAGTGTAGCACCATGATAAAAGATCTAAACAAATGATCCGACTTTCTGCGTTGTGATCAAACAAAAATTGTGTGATTAGGTCAGGGTGATACTCGCCATTAGATTCACAATTGAACAGTGAGATGAGAATTATATAACGAAGAACACCTTAATCATCAACAGAATATTAAAAAAAAAACTTCTCAACTAATATCTAACATACTACTGTCGATATTTAATTCTTGGATTGCATTTAAGACCCCTTCGCTTATCATTCTATCTCATTCAAATCCTTAATTACGAATATTATCAAGATGCCATCACCGCAAATTCGCATTTCGAAACCTGTGTATTATATGCAAGAGCATTATGACGTTGTCGTGGTTGGGTCTGGATATGGAGGTGCTGTTGCCGCTTCCAGAATGGCCAGAACGGGAAAGAGAGTTGCGTTACTGGAAAGAGGTATGAGGTCGATCGATCGCAGTGAGGCAATGAGGGGAAAAATAAATGATGGATTGTGACGACTAGAGTTTACTAATTTAGAAAAGCAAAAATGGAATTGAACTTTGATTTATAATCGATATGTATAAAAGTAATTCTTATCTTGATAACCAACTACCTATAACGAACAATCTCTATTTAGGCAAAGAGCGATGGCCTGGAGAATACCCAAATACACCCCTGTCATGTACAAAAGAAACCCAGTTTCACACAAAACACAAGTTAAAAGGCAAGAAGACGGCCATGTACCAGATATACGAAGGCGAACAGCAAGATGCCATCTGTGCGTGTGGGTGAGTTGAATAAAAAAAAAACGCGAACATGTATATTTTTCCATGTCTTTATCACGTGACATATAATCTTTCTGCAGTCTCGGCGGAACATCCCTCATCAATGCAAACGTCGCCGTAGAAGCGGATGATAAAGTATGGGAAGCAGAAGATGTTTGGCCACCAGAGATTGTTGAAGATTACAGAAATGGAACTATAAAAAAAGGTATCACGAGTTTTGATGAGACTCGGTCCACAGTTTACTGATGATCGTTAAAGACCCTGGGTATCGAGGTTATTTACTAATTGTTCCCAATCATACGTTCTTTTTCTCAGACTATAGTCGTGCTGCCGAAATGCTCGAGCCATTGACATATCCAGATAGTTGGCCTGTTCTCCCAAAACTCGTTGCGCTCGAAGAACAAGCTCGTCGCGCGGGACCTGCTTTCCACAGAAATTTCAAACGTGCACCAATCACAGTTCATTTCGAGAACCGCGTAAACAACGCTGGAGTTCGACAAAAGAAGAGCACATTAACCGGAGACGATTGTACTGGGGTTAACGATTGGAGTAAAAACTCAACGTTGATGAATTACATTCCTGATGCTTGGAATCATGGAGCAGAAATCTTTTGTGAAGTTGAAGTAAAAAAAGTCAAGAAGGACTCGAAACGGAATGTTTGGGTTGTGCAATATGAGTGGATTGGAGTAAGTATTTCGGGATTCTGCAGATCTGATTAGGTTAGATACAAGTTAAACGGCTTGTACATGGTCCAAGATAGACTAGAAAGATTTGGTTCGCCTATAGGAACATCTTATAATGAACGTTTTATGCCTACTCGCCTGACTTAAGATGCACTTCATTACATCCATTTTCTTTATAGGACAATCGTACAAAGTTTGACAAAGGAAATTCCAACTCACTTCTCTTTGTCACTGCCGATATCGTGTTTCTTGCCGCGGGGACTTTGGGCACAAATGAAATTATGTTACGATCTCGCGAGCATGGTTTAGATACAAGCGACAGATTGGGAAAGAGTTTTGGTGGGAACGGTGATGTGAGTCTCTCTCTCTTTTTCTTTTTTTATCCTCTCAACGAAGAAGTGCAAGGGTCTTTGGAGAACTAACATGTTTTTGTGGGCATTTTTTTATAGATTGTCGCTTGGGCTTACAATACCGAGTTATTGTGTAATGGTAGGTACAACTTTTACTTTCTTTATGGGTTGCGTATCGCCAGACTGTAGATCAATATCATCATTTGCTATCAACACCTAACGGCTAATCCTTATGTTCTAACACGTCCACCTTCAATACCAAAGGAATAAGCATGGGCTCGCGCGATCCTAAAAAGTTTCCCGCTCCCGTCGGTCCCTGTATAACCGGCATTATCGACATGCGCGGTGAATCGACAAATGTCATGGACGGCTACGTAATCCAGGAAGGCGTCTGCCCGGCAGCCCTAGTGCCAGTCTATTGGCTTCAAGTAAAAACGCTTGCGAGACTAATCGGTAAAGCTCCACCTTTACCTTTTTCACGATCACTACGGAGAATAATCCGCGGATTTATCACCTTCGTTCGTGGAGCCTATCATGGGTCTCTGGCAAACAGTCAAGTCTTTCTGATTATGGGTTACGACGCCCAGCAGGGGTGTTTGGCTTTGGTTGATGACAGACTGAAAATTTCGTTTAAAAACGCTGGAAGGAATGACAAGGTTAAAGAGTTGAACAAAGTTTTGGAGAGATTTTCTCATGTTATTAATGGAACCTTCGTGCCGTCACCGTTGTGGGACAGCGGGATCGCGGGCCAAACTATGCTTACTGTGCATCCCGTTGGTGGTTGTGCTATGGGCCGTAATGCAAGAAAAGGCGTTGTAAATCATAAAGGACAAGTAAGACATATTGAATATTTATGAAAGACCAAGTTCAGACAAGCGTCGAAGCAGCCCATACCAATACACTGACATTATATCAACACATTCTTGCTTCTTCTATTCTCTCCCTCTCTCCTCCACTTTTCTTTAGGTCTTTACCGGTACAGACTCGGACGGCCAGGAAACTCACGACTCTCTATACATTTGTGATGGTTCCATTCTTCCATCCTCTCTCAGCGTCAACCCGTTATTTACAATCTCTGCTCTAACCGAACGTATTTGTCATCATGCTGCAAAGGATAGAGGTTGGGAGATTGACTACACTCTTCCGAAAAATCCAATTGATTTCAATAAGCCGTTAGTTGTGCATGAAGTGGACGAGAGCGTGGCGAGGAATAGAGCGACACATAAGAAGGGAACAGCAGGGTTGATGTTTTCAGAAGTGATGAAGGGATGGTTTTCGACAGAAGTTACAAAGCGTGATGCTTATATTGCGGCTAAAGGTCAGTGAGAAGGATGGAGTAAATGGATTTGACTTTTTTAATATATGCTTGTATCATAAACTCATGATTGTCATAATAGATCAAGCCAAATCATCTCAATCTCGAATGTCGTTCCTCTTGACCATAATTGCCTGCGACTACTCAACAACTGATTTAATCGCCACTACAAGTGCTGAAATCGCCGGAACCCTCTCCTGTCGTGCACTTTCACCAGATCCACTGATGGTAACTGATGGATCCTTCCGTCTCTGTGTTGCTCACGAAACAACGGTAGACACGTCTCGGATGGAATATAAGATGAACCTGCTAACTACAGACGGAAGAAGGTTCAAGTTCAATGGCTATAAGGAAATTACAAACAGGAATTTCTTAAAGTCCTGGGCGCATTCGACTACCTTGTATGTGAAAATATCAAGTTGGGATGAAGAAGAAGTTGTTGGTTTGGGTATTTTGAAAATCAACATTCTAGATTTTCTAAAACAGTTGACGACTATGAGGGTAAGTGTATTAGAGGGAGATTGTTGAGGAAGAGTGCTGATTAGTGGGGATAATTATAAGTATTACTATCATTCCCTTTCTATGTATAATTGTTCATGGAATTATCCCGATTGTATTTATGACTTACCAATTAATCTCATCACAGGTTACAGGAGAGAACAGAACTGGGAAATTACGGGTCATTACTTCTTTCTTTACTTACTTTGGTGGAAAAGTTCTGGAACATTACTTCCCCGTCCTTCTGCCGCTCGAATACCCGGGTGATCTTATTACAGAATATAATTTGGTGAAGCCCTATGACTTACGGGTTAGGGATGAAGAGTTTTACGTTGTTACAGCTAAGGATGGAGTTGATAACCGGTTAAGGAGGTACAAGCTGCGAGGGAGGGAACACCTGGCGCCTGTGTTGTTGGTAAGTGTTGGAGCTGAAACGGCACACCTCTTTACGACATACTCGTCGAATATTTACCGTATTTTACATTGTTATGCTAATTCATTATTCATTCTCTTTTTTAGGTTCACGGAGCAGCAATGACACATGAAATGTGGTCAACAGATCTCCTCTCACATAACGTCGTTGACTTCCTCTTGGACAAAGGATATGATGTCTGGCTAGTTGATTATAGGATGTCGCCAATAACCAAAGCTTCCCATAGCCAGTCTACTCTTGACCAGATGATCTATGACGTTGCCGCTGCGATCGAAAAAGTCAAAGAAGTTTGCAAAGTCAAGAAAATCGGCGTTATTTCGCATTGCGTTGGATCGTTGGTTGTTTTCATGGGATTGTTGAACGGGGAGATTACTGGTGTTGGATCTTTGATTGCTTCCCAAGTGGTGAGTGTTCTTCTTTTCTGGAGTTATCAACTGCGACTAGATTATTGATCATCTGTTGTTCTCATCATTGTCATTCAATGAATACTCAAACCATTATTCTTCTACTTTATCAAAGGGAATGCACCCCATCCCGGGTCGAGTTAATAGAATCAAAGCTACTCTCCGTTTGGTTGGCTTCTATATGTATATCCTTCGGCAAAATCTATATGATGTCCGCACAACACGTGGCACAGACTGGTTGAACGGCATCATAAACTTCCTTCTCCGGTTCTATCCTGTTGGCAAAGGTCAATGCTGTAGAAGTGCTCTATGCCATAGAGCATCGTTATGCTATGGATTATTGTACAGACATGAGAATATTAGCGAAGCGATTCACAATAATCAAGATGAATTCTTTGGAATAGTAAATCTAACGACCATGGCTCATTTGATGAAAATGTTGAATGCTGGTAAACTTGTGGATGCTAAAGGACGAAATGTTTATGAATCAGAAGAGAATATTCGGACAAGGTTGAATTTCCCGATTGCTTTTATTAGTGGACGGCGGAACGCAGTGTAAGTATACTGCCTGCATATACATCCACTTGCAATACTGTCGATGAGCTGTCTTCTCAATAGTTCTTATTACTTACTTTGATTGTATTTATAACTCAATTTCTATATAATAGGTTTAACGAATACTCAACAGAGAAATCTTTGAACGTACTTCGTGCGATTAATGGTCGGGATAATTATGACAGACTCCTTGTTGACGGTTATGGCCACCTTGACGCTTGGTGGGCAAATTCTGCAAATGAGGAAGTATATCCATGGGTGTTTGATCGATTGGAGTATACAAAAGAGCAATTTTATTATAAATATCAAAAGGCAGCAACAGCAGCAGCATCAGCATCATCACCTTCTTCAAACCATGTCAAGGCTACGAAACAGTCAACCGTTCTTTGACCGGAGCGAATAGAATCGATTAATTTGTAGGGTATCCAGTAGCAATTTTGGATTATTGCGTTAGTGTTGTGTTGCTAACTTATTTATAGAGATATATAAATTGCATCATTCATTCAGATTAGTAACAATAATATTAATATTACAATACTGGAATTAAAAACAAAACCATTACTTATACTCAAGATAAAGCAGTAAGTGAATTAGGTTATGCTTTAATATTAAGGGAAGACAGGCCAGAAACAAGAGTAGCTGGGAAGGCGAGATATAAAAAGTGCGATCACGTTACGAAATAATAGTCGATCATGTGAAAGTATGCAAAAACGCTTGTGAGTTTGCCAGAATATACTCGCTTCCAACACAAAACTACAATAATAACGTTAATCGGTTCAGAAGCACTGTACAATATGTAAGACTCATCACGTTTTGAGAATGAGAGTAAATATTCTGGTAAACTTTTGCCTACTGGAAATTTGCCTAAACCAACGATTCTCATCAGTAATCTCCCATACCAAATTTTAGCTTGCCAAACGCAGGAATAGAATTAGACGAGATATAGGTAGATTATTTTGATTCAGTTACAGGTATTAAGGCAAGATTAATGTGATATTAACATCGATTATCTTATATAATTTAGTGACCCTAAACGCTGAATAAAACTTGTAATTTTATAATTTATTATGGCTTAGTCAAGAGTTTCTTCGTTCTATCAAATATGATATGTTATACTTACCATAAATATATTAATACAAATTAAATTTTCATAATTAGCATTTCGATAAGCTTGCTAATGGCAGCTTTTTGTCGGGTTGATTTTTGTATAAAAGTGCAACCGGATGCTTTGAACGAACAAATAAACTTTTTAATAGAATTATTGACGTTCATAAGCACGTATAAATCATATATTTACCGCTTTGCAACGTGACATTTAATAAGGTCTTGTGTATGTTGTCTATGGTAGCGTATTAAACTAGCAATAGCTTTCGCAAGCTGAACAATAGATCCGAGTATTATTATCTAGAATAAAAGAAAGTGCTATTATATTATTACTGTACTGGTATCCCCAACAAAAGAATGCCATTTAAATAAGCTGACTGAAATCGAGAGAGCACAATAGCCAGATCTAGCATGCATAAACACGAAGCATCATTCAGAGAATGGTGTTAGTAAACCCTATTCCATTTGCCAGCCACTGTTCAAATCTTCACGAGCTTTACGCCGAACAAAATCAAAATTTGCAACTATGTATTCTAATTATTCTTTGAATCGAGGAAATTAGAACAAAGGAATTTATTATTATCATTTTAGCTTTATCAAAGGAAGAAGAAAATTGCGCGTTATATATACAAACCAAACTTGTTTGAACGTAAGGTCATAGCGGTAACGTGAAATTAATGACGAGTAAAATACAGTACTTATAACAAGAGCGCCTCTAAATCTAGCAATTTAACGCGCAGTAAATAATTTTGCCAACCATTTTTTGATGAAAGTACTGTGCCTTGTCTTTCATGCAGCATAAAGAGTTACTGTACCTTATCATGCAAAAAGTCGCTGTCCTTCATGCAAGATAAAAAGTTACTGTGCCTTACCAATGCAGTCCGACGGGAAATAAACATAAAACGTTGAAGCAAACTTCCATGACGATTTTCTCTTGCATAAAACAATTTGTTCTTTTAAACAACATGTAGCACAAAGTAAACATCAATAATTGCCTGCCTGTATACACATTCGTTTTTCTAACAGTCCCAGGTAATGGACAAAATACATTGTACGATTCCTTATTACTTTTGATTCACCTATATTGATTACAACAACCATCTCGAACAAATTTGGACTGCGTGATCAATCGAATAAAGAAATCAAAATAATACAAGAACGTAACCGCATTGCTCCCGGTAAATGACAGACGATCAATTGATTCCTTGTTAACTCGAACTATTTGAAATTGAACAGGCACAAATTTGCCCATGCCCGGTAGTGGAAACAATGATCAACTTCTTGTTATCTTAAATGACGCATAATTGATTACTGCATGCATAAGGTTAACCAATTGTTTGCAACGAAAGATATGAAGCTAACGTTTCAGTTTTGTAGAACAAGGAACCATTGACTGTTGACTTTATTTTTACCGTATGCTGCTCCTCATGGTTGAAAATGCCGTTTTATTTTCATTCTGACCCTCCCCCAAGGATATTGAACAACTGCAACTCTAGGGATTCATACACTCTATCACTGGCTAAGCAATCGGCTGTTATTATCAACCCGTCCGTTATCTTTTTGATGTGAGGCTTGCCTGAAACACCAATAGACACATAATGCGCCTGCTGACAACGCCGCAGCCTTGTGTAAATAATGCCATATGCCCAATAAATTACGTATTCCATGCGATTGTGTCTGTTCAGTAAGATTCTTTATCTAAATTAAATGAACACATGGTAATGATGATGTTGTGTGTTGTGGTGCATGTAACATGTATGTGTGTTTAACTCCAATATATTAAACACATACACAATCGCCGCAAAAGAAAGAATTATCCCCGGTAACGACACAATTAATTATTGACTACTTGATGTCTTGTTTACTATTGAAGGTTGAAGTAATTAGCTCGATGAACCTATGAAAGACAGATTACAGACTGGCTTTATGACGGACGAAAACATTATATTGTCTGCAATGCATAAATTAGATGCCGTGTTACGACATACAATTGCAGTAAGTCTCCTTGGTAAAAAATCGTCTATAATTTAAGTTTTAGGTATGCTGATACTAGCATCACATAAACTTGTACACTCGAGTCGCAGGACATGCTCATGATAGTATGATGTCAAGTTGGCTTTATGATTCTAATTGAATGTTAGGCTAGGCTGGGCTAGAACACATTAGACAAAGAACATTGGCGATATGGCATATGACAAGGTATATTTGATAGCAACCATCATCTATCGTCAGAATGTACGTATAGATTTTTATGAAAAGGCATTCAAACAGTGAGGCGTATTTTATTTGCAAATACATGAGTTCTTGTAGATATTTGCTGTACACTTTTGTATTTCTACTATCGGTAAGTAGTATAAGTCGATGAGGCGTTAGGCTGGAATTGCAAAGACATAACCATAACGACTAATTTGTATGCCCAAATTTGTACAATTGAGTGAGGGGTCGCGATAAATGTGTCATGTCATAATCTTTTAATAGAATGTTGGGTAATGCTGATCTTAATCTCAAAAGGAAAATTATACCGGGATTACTCGAAAAAGCAACCGTGTTTTTGTAAAATTTGCGGGAATCCCGATAACACAAGTAAGGCGATACTTGGATGCAACAGCTTCATTATGCCGACATGTATTGTTCAAATTGACACCGAGTCGGGTAACTGTTTTTACCATTGCTCGATTGGCTAATTCTTTGTAAAACAGACAAAACGAGGATGCAAAATGTCTGCGAGAATTCAGTTACATAAACAATTGGCATCTAACGAGAGGTTTGATTGTTGTTCGGTATGGCAAGTGCAAACGACCTTTAAGATATTGTACAACGAGGGCCGATGAGGCATGTTGATGTTTATCGATATCAGAGTTTGCCCGCATTAACCGCTCATCGACATTGTATAACTCCACCCCAGAATATGTATCTTATACGCCTTGTCATAATTAGAAATTGTTTGTACACAAAGTCACATAGTATTATGCAGATCCTAGGTAACTTGTAATTGTTGTACGATAATATGTATCAAGCGAGTGCAATTGGCCCAATCACATCCCAACAAAGAAGAATCTTGCCACCATACGCTCGACCAAGTCCAAATATGAACGACAACATGAGAAACCACCACTGTTTGCAAGTACCAAAGATCATGTCTGTAATTTTAAATTCTCTGCTATTGTGGCGCATTTTACCCGTAGAGGAAAAAGTATGAGAGCCCATAGACAAAGAAAGGCGCAAGGGCGGTTCTTGAATATGGGCAGACGGTAAGTAGAGAAAAATGCGACCCTCGTTTTACAGAGTAGACTTGGGAATGCGGTCAGAAGAGTTTTTATTTTAATTGGTGCTAAACAACATTCATGGGAATATAATTTGTCTCATGTTACAGTCGGAATTTGATTAAATGCATCTAGACTAATTGACGATGACGTTAAATCAGATCAGATCGTTAACTGCGCAGTAGTTGTTAATTGAAAGCATGCATTTAACAATCGAATCGATGCCAGATCATTGTCTGTTGATAAACACCCTTGTTGTTCATTACGGGTGGTGTTATCTTGCTCGGGTAACGCATAACGAAAAACCTTTATTCAATGGGGATTGTATTTGCTACTGTACGTTAGTTCTGTCCTTTGCTCTCTCTCTTTATTGTTTATCATCATATCAAGTTTTCGTATCATTCGTCCGTCTCAACCAAAAGATTATCGTGTGAATAACAGATAACAGACATGCAAGTTGTTTCATGTAAGTTATTCCCGCCTGCATGTCTATTTCTTTTAGACATTACCCGCTTTCCCCCCCTTACTCTTTCTCTCTATTTGCTTTCATTAGTTAATATTCTACAAATATATCAACCGCATATATTATTCTGTAATACGAAATCAGTCATAGGACCAAACAGCGACAAGCGGAGGTGCGGAATATTTGAACTGGGCAAGAAACAATAGTCAGGTAACGTTGAAAGTTGGATTAATTAGTGTAACGTACTTTAGAATAACGGCATTGATTTGTTTCAGTTTCTGTTGTTGGAGCTCTTTCATTTATGGATGATCAATTATAAAGATATGCAGTCTCTCCCAAAACAGGACACTTGTCCATGTCGGGATGACAATAAAAAATGTAGCTAAATTTAATGCCCAATGAACAGTCGACCTATGTTGTGGTAGTGGCTGTTGTATTACACATTCTAAATATTATGGCGCAATCGATCAAAAAAGGTTCGATGGCGAGTTACATATAAATACACGACGCCTCTGCTCTTGCCTCTTTGGCTTCCTCAACAGTTGTCACTGAAAACTGAGTTTTTTTTGGACATTAGTTCCCCTCGACTGTGTCGACTCAATACTGTGAAACACATTAGCTGGCACTAACCATCTATAGTACATATTGTAAATATTGTAAAAACCTGCAGTTTGTCAATTTCCATTGCGACTGTCCGAGTGTATACACACTAAATTCTTATAAATATTAAACAGAAATTACCCTTAGCTTTTCGTATCTCACTTATACCATTTACCCTCTTTCTTCTTCCTCCACTTTCTTTTTGTATAGCATTTTTACAATCACCTTTACATTTACCCTACCCTTTACACTTTTTCTTATCAAAAATGCTCGAAAACACTATCACTCCACTCACTTCCACGTTCGTCTCTGTCTCCAACCCCGTTTCTCCTTCATCGCCTTCACGGAGAGGCAGGAAAAACAATAGCGTTGCCTGTATAAAATGCCGTAAAGACAAGAAGAAATGCTCGGGCGATTCAGTCACGGGCTCACCATGTTCGTATTGCGTAACTCACAACGAAATGTGCATATATCCATCCGTTGTTAGAGGAAATGGTAAACTTCCGGCGGCCGAGCTTGATCAGCTAATCTTGCCACGACTGAACCAAGTAGAATCACAACTGTCGAATTTATCCAATACCATCTCGGCAATCTACCAAGACCAACAGATATGCGAACAAGACCAACAATACAAGCAACTCTACGACGTTGTCTTTTCTCTCTTAATCCATCCCCTAATTACACCGGAACAAACCCACATTCTCCGTTGCATCTGGTCCGCATTTGAAATCGATCGCGATCATCAAATCTTTACTGGTGGCAATTACCACGCCATATTCTATAAATTACAAACTTGTTTGGCACATGCTCAACAAGAGGAATCGAACCCTGAAATTTGGGACGATCTTCAAAAGTTTTTAGACGAAAAACTGATGATAGACTTTGTCCTGAACTCTGATGGAATGGGAAATTGTGAAAATAAATTTGCAGACGGAACATTTGCGCTAACCGCGGAAGAAGGAGAAGAAGAAGAAGAAGCTATAGTACCGGCAACGTCGGCTATAACCACAAACTTTGAAACAACCCTTGACTTTTCGCAAACACTACCCTCTTCCACTTGTACCATTCCCGATACCAAACCCTCTTCATCCCCGAAACTAGACAAACCCCAACAGACTCCACCTCCACCCATAACTACCGAAATGATTATCGAGTTTGACAACCCAACCCAACCTCAACAACCGTGCACAAAATCCAAACGAAACCGACATGAAAAGAAAAAGTCCTCTCGATCAGGGCCTTACCCTTCTTCTTCTTGTTCAGTGTTCCCAAGAGGAGGACACGTTGTAATACGAAAGCTTCCAAAAACTCCTTATGTGACAGACGTCTGGAGTAAATATGATCTGCAAGATAATTCACCATCGATTTTTGCTTCAGTCAAGGAAGAAAATAACGGCGGTATGAAAGCGACGGAAAACATGTACGATAATAATAATAACAACAGCAACAACAACAACAGCAACAACAGCAACGATAACAATAACAATAATGATAACAACATACACGCAACACCAAAACTCAATATCAATATTCCATTCAACTTTGAAAGTTCCAACCTCAACATTCCAACAACAAACACACTGCTCACTCCACCTTTGTCGTCCCATTCTCTAATTTCCGGTCATTTTCAACTGCCTTATTCTTCGGCAGTCTCTCCCATTGCAACACCACCCACCGTTCCATCAACTCCTCTACAACATACGCCGACAGTTCCGTCTACTCCAATCCACACATCTCCGCTAGCATTCTCTCCGCTATTATTTACGCCACCCACAGCCACTACATCCTTCCAAATTTACAGCCCGTTATTGTATTCTCCTCCTCACGTTGTAATTGGGGATCAAGTAATGCTGTCACGGGAACCGAATGAGTTTGAGTTTTGTGAGGGAATGTATTAAACAGCATTTTTGGGGGAAATAGAATTTGTACAAATTTCAAATAACAATAAGCGAACAATAGGTTAACGTGTGGTCAAAGGTTTCCTAACTTTCACTGTATGAAACAGCTAAACTTATCGATATAGAATGACAATAGAGACTTGGTTTGTTCATTGTTTCACTTTGTAAAGTAGTATTATTATATATTGCCAGTATCAAACAGACTTTTACACAATGTAAATAATTTCTTTTTCGAGGGTTTTTGTGAGTAACTTTTTTTTTTTTTCAGAGGGGAAAAAACGACCTTTTTCTCAACAGGGGCTTTTTCTTTATTTCTTGTCTATTCCATCATTATCAGAGCATAAAGATTCCATGTATAATAATAAACATAATATATTTAACAATGTATGTCGCTGTCTGTCGCTGTCTGTCGCTTGTCGCTGTCTGTCGCTGTCTGTTGTCGTCATACATACGTTAGCATTTGCATTGCCGATCTGTTTTTACATTGATTATTCTAAATTGCCAAATGTGCTGGTGGCTTGGTTACTGATAAACAAAACCCAGAGATTGAAAAATCACACCACCTTTTTGACCTGTTGATTCTATCGATTCTATCGATCGCATAACATCAAAGAAGAAAAAACAATGAATGAACAGGCCTTTGGTTTATTATGCGCAGTATTGATGGTCTCTTGTTTGTTTGTTTAAACTTGTGTTTACTTGCGTTGCGGCTATATCCATGTGAGTATGCTAACATATTTCCCGTGCTTTGCGGGTGCTATGGAATATGTTTAAATTGCTTACACAAACATCTTTTTTCGAACAAAAAAACATTGTCCCCTGCACAGAACTGTTTAACGGATTTTATGTACTCTTATTTCTCGGGGCCAATTAAAACTTTTGTTGTGGTATTAATTAATGGGAGATATCGGGTCTAAACGGAATTTGCGATTTTTGATCGATATATGCAGTTTAGTCTGATCTATTTTCGTGGCGGAGAAAAAAAAAAGTGTGTCCACTGTGTTGAAATTAGCTAATATGGAATAATAATGATATACATTCATGCTGTGTATGTGTATAAGTACGATGCTCATTTCCTGCACGCCGACCAACATGTCGTTTCCATGGTCAATATCATTCGATCAATAAAATTGCCCCGACGAAATGAAGAATCGTATCAAAGTTATTATATTTTTGTTTTTGAAGTACGAGATCAGCCCTTACACAATGTATGATGCAAAATTAGGAAATTCGTGCATGGGCTTACAAATCTCAACGACTCTTATTGTCTGCGCTTTTTTGGACTTGTGTTATCGAATAGGATTGCATTCTGAACAATTGTCGAAACCTTTCCTTATTATGTTAAGCCACAGCTTATCATTGTCTGGTTTAATTTGTCAATAACCTGTTCTCTTCTTCTTTGCAATCAACACATAAAGAGAGTCTTTGTTAATGAAGTCTAATCTAGTGGTTGCTAATAATGTGTAAGCATCAATAGATAAGAGTTATCGGCCCCGTATTGCAGCAACCTAACATTGTTGACAAAGAGCCGCTCCATTGATACTTGCCTCTTTATGTATACATAGACAACAAACGTAAAGGCTTCATTATTACTGGTCAACATTACTTGACAATGGCTAAAAATCTTGCCTTCTGTATAGTTTCTTATCGCACAGTCGGATGTCACTTGATGATATCTTACGTAAGGTAGCAATCAGTCACGTGGTACACATTAATTTTGTAATAGGGGTAATTGCTGCGAGTGAGATTGCGTTTTAATTTGTATGTGCGCCTATTATAGAGATGTAATGGCTGTTGCGGTGAGACAAAAATTATTACACGTTTGTTGTATGGACATTCTGAGTAAGCAAACTTTATTTTACTTGTAAAAAGCCGTAATATTAATATTACGCGCATGTATGCTGTTTCATCTGAAAAAAAAAAAAAAAAAAACAAAACAAAACAAACTATTTGATCCCCCCCCTCGAATTTGATATTTGTAAGCAATGAATAAGAAATGTCTTTATAGTCTTTTATTGACTGCTCAACGTTCTGATTGAACACTTTTAAGAGAAAATTAGATTGCACAGTTTACCATAAAAAAAAAAAAAAGCTTAAAGACTAGCACGGGAAATGACGTAGTGTAATGTAGTTTTTGTTTATTTGTATTTTCAACAAATAAACTATAAATTTGATAAATCTGTTAGTCTACAAAAGTTTAAACTTATTTTTTATGGCAAAATTAACTTTGTATTTACATAATCGCTTAATCATGAGTACCACGTTATTTTACATAATAATTTTTTCAGCAATCAAACCGACTCATTACTTTTGTCAGGATTGGACAACTTGAATGAAGATTAATGCTTTATTAACCAAACACGGTTTGGTTTTTTCTATATAGGGGGGTTGATTACTATCTCATACATTAAATCAAATAACCAATAGTAACAAAGCCAAAACACGTATAAGGAAATTGCAATATGACTACACGAAATCATAATGCAACACCTGACCCATTACACGTATAAGAAAAATCGATACAGTATAGTGCGGTATAATATTATAATGCAATATTTTCTATCGCCAAAATATACTGCATACTGTATATTCGATACTCTGGATTGTTAACCTGTGATTAAACTATAATAATACAAAACAATTGCATTTTATACTTTTCAACAATCGCACCTGCGATTCCTTCGTATTTAATTAAAAGCCTGCAGCTAATCTTTAATTTGTTTGGTTAAAAGTGCATCCATAATACTTTTTGCCGCTCCTCAGTGGTTAATTATATAATGTTATTAGATCTATAAGTTTCACCATTGTTGTATTTATTGAAACAACAATGTTATGGTATTAATACATCTGATATTACTGCATTAAAGACACAATTTAGTCTCTGAAAATAAAATTTTAATTGGTCAAATTTTATATGCTGATTGGCAATTGTGTATGAACGTTATATGCGCACAAATAAATCTTTGGATCTGTACTCTACACGCAATTTAAGACAATCGATATCACAAGATAAAATTAGCCAATTATTAATAGTTAATTTGCTCACGCGTCTTACACCAAAATTATTCGGATTAACAAGAACATTGAATTGTTATCATGTTTTAGCAAAGATTTAACCCGTGGATATAATTGAGCTTGATTCGTTTATTATTTAAAAAAAATTAAATTTGTGTTTATTATTTTTTGAATGAGAAGTGGCTTGACTTTTGTCAAATTTTTTGTGATTAATATGTTATCTATAAGGGCAGCTTGAATTGCATACGTTTATATATGATATTGGTAACCATATAATGCTCTTCTATGTAACCTTAGACTATGTAGCAATCAAGCACCCCTCGCATGTTTTAGTGACTCTTAAAGTCTTGTTGCTGAAATTAAAACACTCTTTGTTTGCGTCCAATCGCAATCACATAAATATCACGGGCATACATTTACAGTGTATGTGGGAAATGAAAAAAAAAACATACAATGCGGAATATCTTTATGGAGGTTGACTGTGTACCTTTATATATTCTTGCAATTACGGAAGGAAGGCTGACTTGTAATTTACCTCTTCGCTAATCCATTCTGTAGCTGTGTCAAAATTTCATTAGTTTAGGAAATTCTACACTTACTCTTTCTGTACAAGGTGCATTATACATCCATTCTCTACAAATCTCAGCACTTTGCAACAATATACAAGTAATAGCTGGCTGTATAGTAAATCCAATAATATCATATAACATTTACCATTACTGAGCCAAAGTATTATGCCAACCAATTTGAATCAGCTGGGCTCAGCAACGTAAATATACTGTAATTGCAACTTTTCAAATTACCACAAACTCCCATAAATAAGGGCCTACCTTCATTAATGAGGAGGCGCTTATATCTGCTTGCGCCTGACGTAACAATTGTCCTCATTATCTTTGTTAATTTATAATCACGAATTGCGAATGTTGATTGATAACAACGGGTGATGAGGGGAAATTACGAAAATTTGCTTTTGCAAACTAAATTGCGTAATCAATGCGGAAATTATCGACATAACGATGTCATCCACGAGTTAGAGAAACTGACAATTCTTGTTTACAAAATTTTGTTCCCAGAAAACAAAATATGTAATTATTTAACTTTTATTTAAAAAGCGCTTGCTTTGAACCGGCTCGCATATTATCCATAAATATAAAAACTTATTACCTTTATACTAAACTTTTGACTATAATTATTCGCAGACTGCCCATAAATTTTGTTTAATTCAGCTTGGATGCAAGCACTGCAGCAAGGGCTATATAATAAAATTATTTTAATATAATTGTCACAAAACATGCTCACGCGTTTTAAACTTGCTTGCTAGAATGCCTACTACAGGGGGGTATCAAAAGTATTGCACGCTTTTATTTTTACAATATTGAAAAAAATTTTCTATATAATAAAAATAATAACTTTTGGACCACTTACTGTATCACTTGTCTTAATAAAACATTAATGTTAATTTAATATAGCGTGTCATTATGAGCAGAATAAGTAATTAGTAAAAAGCCCAATTTTCTGCTTCGGCGCATAAATGAGCCTTGCTAGAGAGCTTATTCCACATAATGACAATAAAAAAACTAGCTAGCCAAGAACACAACAAACGCAAAAATGATAAGAAACCATCGCACAACAGTTCCAACGGGTTTTTGGAGCTTGCTACTATGAATCAGGGAAAACTTCGAAAATATTATCTGTAAAGAACAATGCAAAGAACAATGCAAAGAACAATGCAATGCGCTTTTGCAAAAGTATGATATATTCACGCTCAACCAAATTTAAGTCGTGATTGCTGCAAATGGAGGAAATATTAAATATTGATGTTTACTTTATATAAGTAAATAAAATTTTTTGAAAATCTTTTTCCAATATCGTAAAATAAAAGCGTGCAATACTTTTGATACCCCCCTGTAGCTCCAATACCGGATCTGATTTAATAGTAATTTTCTCAGCAATTTGCGATTCCAGCAACAACACTGTCAAAGCTT